GCCAGCCCCAAAAAAAAAAAAAAAAAAGACTTGTCACTTAAAAATGTGTCCTAATAACAACAACAATTCCTTGATTTTGTTAAGACAAGTGAACAGATATGATGCTCATGGGGGGAGGGAGGGAGAGGGAGAGAGGAAAAGGAGGAATTGGTAAAGGAACATGAAAATCAACTATACTGGATATTGATAAATTAAAAAATTTTTAAATGTGTCATAATAAAACATGAATCAACTTCTCACAATACTCTAGTTGACTAGAGTTAAGTCAAGGTAAGGTAGTCAGATGTCCTTTACAATACTGAATTCTTCCTTCTATTCTTGCCTGGCACAGAGTAAGTCCTTACTAAATATTAGCTGTTATTTTTCCTAGCTATGTGATCCTTCAGATGTTCCTTGATGGCACACTGTCCTTCACCTAAGCCCACTTTTTTACTCCCTTTCCTATTCTGAACTCACACTCCTACTCATTCTTTCAAGGGTTCAAGACTTATTGATTGATTGATTGATTGATTGATTGGCAGCTGGCTGGCATGGGGATTTGAACTCTTGGCTTTGGTGTTATAACACTGCACTCTAACCAACAGACTAATTTAATAGATCCTTTGCCTCAAAGGTTCAGTTATAATATATCAAGATATACAGATAATTTTATAAAAGAAACAAGTAACTGTTCAACAGATTTCCATGAAGTCCTTCTAGTGAAGCAAAATATCCTGTCTTCCTTCCCCTCAAGATTCACCAGGTTTCATTCTTCTTTAGGTTCATTCCAGTCTTTCACTAAGTTTTTGTCAAATTAATTACTAATCATCTAAAGTTTTCACCCTACCCTTCTGTCTCTAGTCCTGCATTTCCCCTACCTTACATAGATAGTAAAAAAACTGACACTGTGAAAGCAAACAGACAAATTTAACAGAAAAATATTGAAGGATCAAGAAAATGAAAAGCCTCTCTGAAATTTCATCAGCTTCTAAAAGATGTACCTAAGAAGAAACATATTAGGGAAAAAAAAAAAAAGAAAAAAAAAAAGACGTGGATCCAGGACAGTTTTAATAATGACTATGCAAGAAAGAAGAAAATCACTCTCCATACTGGTCTCTGAAGAAATTCTTGTTAGTTATATACAAGGATGAAAGAACACACAAATCTCCTGTTCCCCTTTCCTCTTTAAAAGCAAAACAAAGTAAAAGTAAAATTCATCTTGGCTTTGTTATCAGTTGTTTATACAGAGAAAAAAAAGGTTTCTCCAGATCACAACCTAAAATTCACTGTTCCATTTAGTGATAAGATTCTGGTAGCTGATAAGGTTAGTAATAAAATTTCTACCTCATTCAATCTATTTTAGTTATCTCCACAAGTTTTTAAAAGTAGAAATAAGGAAATTTCTAAACATTATAAACAACTGAAGTTTGGTATGAATCCCTCAAATCATGCTAAAAAAAAAAAAACGCGAAGGGACAAGGTAGAAAAAGTAATAAAAGATGAAGCTGAAACATCTGAAATTCTATTCCATTCCTTATTTACATTACGGAGCAGCTCTCTTTCAAACAAATCCTAAAATCTCAAAAGACTTTCGGCAAGTTCTTCAACAGGTCAGGCTAAATCAAAATAAAAGGTTTAACAGCCAATAGCACTTTTTTTCGCACTCTCCCAAGTGCGCCACGGGCTCGGCCCGCCAATAGCACTTTTGATTGTATGTTTTAAAAAAATCATGAGATAACTTTACAATTCTTAACACTGCTGCGCAAGTTTCCTCCTTCCCTCCCAAACACGCACAAATTCCATCTTTTTAAATGAAAAAACAGCTTTATAAGAGCTCAGCACAGACAGATTTCCCAGCAAAAGAAAAGAAAAAGTATTATCTTTAGGAAAAAAAGATTCTTGGGAGCTCTGGAGATATGCAACAGATCAACACAGAGGAAATCTGAATACCTGGCTGTTGACATTAACATTGATGTTGGATTGAGGTGACGACAAAGGACTGTTCTCCATCTCAAGTTCTTTTAGCTTCTCTGAGGCATCTTTCAATGCTGAAAAAAAAAAAAATAGCCCCTCAGTCTTCCAGGCTGTCATAGTTGTATGTTACCATCAATTAAAAGTACAGTCCAGGGCTGGCCAGGTGGCGCACTGGAGAGTGAGCCACTTGGGAGCGCGGCGGCGCTCCCGTCGAGGGTTCGGATCCCATGTGGAGACCGGTTC